AAAAACTTCGCCCATTGGTTATTATCTTTTAATGGTCAACATTAATATATATCTCGCTGGCGCTCGTGGTACACCACGTATAGTATACCGATCCGGCAGAAAAATCCCCGGGATAATAATGTGAAACGCGAACGCGTTCTCCGACACGTATTACGATTTCACGTCTAACAACGACAATTTTATCCGTGACCGATTATTTTTTATCGATACACCCGGCTATCCGAACTCTCTGCTCGATTATTTACTACGTAGTAATATCGATTAACAGCGTTAAACCGCGGCGATAATAAACAATCAATGGGAAACAAATGATTCTCGATGGGACCTAGTATGTAGAGCAGAGCTGTTACCACTCTGGCTATAATTTATCAGCAAGCACGTCGCTTTTGCATAACGCGGCGTTAATGAAATTTATTTCGTTTAAGCTGGACGTATCGACGCTAAATATCCTCAGGAGGGAAAAGAAAAAGGTAGCCGGCATCGCAGCGATCACCTCCCGAGTCTCGAGGAATTAATTTCTCGAAACGGGAGAGAAAGAGACACGCAGATCACCTCCTGAGTCGCCAGGAATTAATTTCTCGAAACGGGAGAGAGTGACCGACGGAATTATTATTTACGCGCGGTTAAATCATCGCGACTTAATTTTCTCCTGGCCGAAAACGTCCTTACAACTTCTTTTTTTTTTTACTAAATTATAATCAAGGAGCGAGGTTCCTCTTTGCCCCTGAGCTGCGTGCGCGCGGTTCGGGAATTCCAGGATCGCCGGTGGTTGAACGTGGAGGGAAAGAAAGGATGCCGGTACGTGTGGCAAACGGTTCGGGAATTCTCTTTATCTCCTCGAAGATGGCGCGCTAGGTGCCTCTGTTCCGATCGCCAGGGCGTCACCCTGGTTCACCCCGAGCTCTCCACGCGATCATCTGGCCAGGGACCACCGCCCAATTTCTCTCTCTTCCTCTCTCCTCTCGACCAGCAGAGGATATACTCGCAGGTTCGAGAATTCCACGACACGTTCGCTCGGGGTTCCACCGGAGGAAACAGACCACCACTTTATCCTCGACGCATCTTTCACGCATACCAACAAGCAGGATGCGTGTCTTCGTCCATCTAGCTGGCTGTCACGGTCGCAATTTACACCCCGTGGTGCTCGGGAGACAGGTATACCTATCGTACGTGTCCTCTATGCGTGTGAGCGCACACAGATGTGCACACTGGTCGCGAATGACCGACTGTGAATTCTCCGTTCTCGGTTGGATCGCGTCGCGATCGTTCATTTAATTGGACCGGTCTTCTTCTTTTGGCCGGTGGTCAAATTTGGGTTGGCCAGTTGAAAACCTTTGTCTTCGGTTTCGATTGCGTAATTACGGGATCGTTGGGAATTGGGTGGCGTGTGTTGGCAGATTTGTGGGTGGGTTAACCCTTCGATTGGTCGCCCCGAGTGACACTTGAGAGTATCGAGTGTCGAAGGCGATTAGAGAGGGACGAGATATTGTTGTAAGTTCTTTGGTTCCAGTGTTTTATCTACCAGTTCTTCATTTTTCAGGGTGTTTTGGAGTATTTGGAGCTCCACGTATTCTTCACCTCTTAGCAAAGGTAGAATGACAAGGAAAAACAAAGAAAGAAATTTCTAAAATTCTAAGATCTTCAAAAGTATTAGTCGATATAATTAAAATAAGACTCTAATTTTCAATACTGTGACGCAGAATTAACTAAAAAGGAGGACGTCCGAAATAAAATTTATTACACTATCAAGGGGTCGACTCACTCAAAAGAGAATGCAAATAACCGCACACGACGTAATTCACAATTTCATCAGACCGTGAAACTAGAGAAAAACGGAACAATTCGATGGTAATCGCATCAAAGATAGATTTCCCGTGAAAAGAAAATATTCCGTGTCCCTGTTCCGTGAATCCTTTCGTGGTGGTCGATTAAACGAGTTCACGTGTTCGCCGCGTATAAAAAGGGGCATAACCATTCGTCGTTGTTGTTTAGGTCGTTTTCTGTATCGTTCCATCTATCGAGCCGTCCTGGCAACAAAGGGCGGCGAGGCATTTCTCCTTTTGTACGTTTTTTTTTTCTCTTCTCTCCCGAGTTGCCATGTTGGATATCATCGGGACAGGCGGTGTCTTAAAGGATCGGGCGGTTTCGATGCCTGCCAGGGGTGGGACATTCATCTCCATAGATTAAGCTTCGCAGACACACTGTGGCCTTCCATATTCTGACGCATGGCCCGAGAGATGCCTGCTACCTGAGAACAGAACAGACCACGCCTTTCCCAATTTCTTCCCGAACGTTTCTCCTTCACGAATCAAGGGTCCCTCCTTAATTTGTAATCGGCGCGATAAATGAAACTGTCGTTTCCGAAAAATCGACAGGATACGATCTACCAACACTTAAAATCAACATTTTCGCATAACACGTTACCAATTTTTCCTCCGTTTTTTAATTCAGCCACGTCGAGCTAACAAGAGCTTTATTTACGTTCTGTTTCAGGAGCAGGTAGCAGCGTCGAAGGTGAGTAACCAGAAAACGATCCAGGTATCTCGACAAATTAGCTTCTCGATTAATTACCCGCAGCAAAAAGGTCGGGAAAAGTGAGGATCATAAACACGATCGTGAGCGTTCTCTCGATTCTTCTCGTTGCGTCATCAGGATCAGCTATCTCGTAGGTACGTTTCGTGAAAACAAACAGGCCGCGTTATATTTAAACGGTGGTAAACGAGAGGGTAACGAGTGTGTCCGTAGAGGAAGAGAGAGAAAGGAAGGTGGATCGATGGAGAGAATGAGAGGGAGAAGGGAAT